TACTTCAGCCTGGAGTTTCTCCTGAATTTCGGGGTGGCAGAGGAGAAACAGGACGCACCAACGGATGGAGCTCGCCGTCGTCTCGCTCCCGGCGATGAACATGTCAGCGATGTTCGTCTGTAATCCGCGTTCTGTTGGGATTCGCATTGATCGTGAGCATTTGGCGCTTCCCGTTTCCGATAATACTTGTGGAAATACCTGAAAAATTGGGATTGATTTCTCCTTGAGCCTTTTGTTTTGCCATTTCCATGAGATAGGCTTCGATGTAATCACTTGGTTCCCCGGACAATGGCAGGCTTTTCTTGTGTTTCTCCACCTCATCCTTGAGGGGGTAACATAGCATGAGGACATGAGCATTCATTTCAGTTAAAACTAAAAAAAGTATCTCTCTGGAATTTCCTTTTTGTTTCTTAGGCTTCCTGTCAAATGGAACACCCTGTAAACTCCAGCAATGCTGGCAACCATTAAATTAGTCGCCACAATATTAGTCCTCGTTTGCCTTGTTACATTTCGCTCATGTTATGATTGTGGTACGACGACATCCTTATAATAGTATAACATACTCTAGGTCTAAAAGCCATCTTCTAAGTGATGAGCTTTAGGGGAATTGAGATGAGCCAGTTTTACTGGATACAAAACTATTGGAAGCACATGGGTCGTTTGAGCAAGCTCTCACAATGTGGGAAATTTAAAAATGTATCTTATATTAAGAATACGCGTTTGGTCGCCAGTTGTCTGCAGCTTTTCGGAGAAAGTTTGGAGTTCGCTTGGACGACTGAAAATCGAGCGAAATTCGCGGGTGTCTATTGTCGATACACGAAAAGCAGACAAGCCAAGTCTTAATTTTTCCTCGACGATTCGCCCTATACATAAATATAATGTGATGTAATGAATTCTGGATACCGAGAACACTTTCGTTATGACAGCCAGATTGCGTTGGATGCGTCTGTATGCCCTGAGCGCAGGCGACCAAAAGAAGACCAAGAGGGGCGCCAAGTGGAAGTTCCCGAGGATGCAGAAATCAAAGAAGACCTCCTCGAGTCCGATCATCATGCCCTGCATCTTCGCGTCGTCTTGGGAGAATTGCCTGCCTGTGGACGATAGAACTAAATTAAACAAATTTGTTGTAGATGACGTTATTTTCAATGATTGAAGATAGTTTTTTTTTCTAAGTAAATTATGGTGAAATCACGAAGACTTTTTGCGAACCCGCAATGATTTTCCAGATGATGTTGAGTATGGCGAGGTTAAGGTGGGGGCCGAGGTCTTGCGGCTCGTGCTGATT